TTCAAATAGAGTAGCTCACATAATCCCTGAGCAATAGCCCTGAACTCTGATTCTGCGGATGATCTTGCCACCAGATTATGTTTCTTGCTCCTCCACGTTACCAAATTACCTCCAAGAAAAGTACAATTCCCTGTAGTTGATCTTCTGTCCATTAGGGAACCTGAATGGTCAGAATCGGTGTAAGCTTCTAAAGCAAGAGTGTCGTTCTTCTTGGACAAAATTCCTTTCCCTGGATTGCTTTTCAAGTAATGTAGTACTTTATAAGCAGCTTGAAGATGAGGTTTTCTTGGATCGTGCATGAATTGACTAATCATGTTCATTGAGTATGCTATGTCAGGCTAAGTGTGAGCAAGGTATAAGAGTTTTCCGACCAACCTTTGGTACATTCTTTTATCAACAATTAGTTCTTCTTTAGCTTCTCCCAACTTATGGTTTGGATCCATTGGTGTAGAGATTGGTTTACACTAAATCTTCCCTATTTTTGTCATAGATCAATCACGTGCTTTTGCTGAGATATGAAGATCCCTTGCGCGGAATATGCCACCTCAATACCGAAGAAATACTTAAATTTTCCTAGTTCCTTTATTTAAAATTCTTTTATTAGTCTCTGCTTCAGTTCTTGCGTCACTATGATGTCGTTCACATAAACTAGAAGTGCAGTTATTCCCCTTACAGCTGAATGTTTAATGAAGAGAGTGGTCACCTTGACTTTGTTTACATCCTGACTCCTTCATAACTTTTGCAAATCTCCCAACAATGTTCTAGGAGATTGTTTTAACGAATAAAGGACCTTTTTCAGCTTGCATGCCTTGCTACTTGTGTCCGCCTAAAATCCCGATGGAATAGTCATGTATATCTATTCATCTAAATCACCATGGAGAAATGCATTCTTAACATCATATTTTAGTAGTTGCCACCTGAAGTGGGCAGCCAATGATAATAGAATCCTCATTGTATTCATTTTTGCAAGTGGAGCACAAGTCTCCTCATAATCCACCCCATAAGTCTAAGTATACCTTTTGGCCACCACTCTTATTTTATATCTCCGAAGGGATCCATCAGCCTTGTATTTCAGTGTGAAAATCCATTTACAATCAACAATGTTTTTCTCTTTTGGTTTATCAACAATCTCCTATGTTTTGTTCTGTTGTAATGCACTCATCTCTTTTCTCATAGCATCCTTGCATTCTCTTTTTGACAATGCCTCAGAAACAGTGTTAGGGATAATAATAACGTTTAAATTTATAATGAATTTTTTGTCAGATGGTGATAGATGCTTAAGAGAGACATAGTGAGATAGTGGGTAAAACAGTTGTTTGGTGCATTTTCTGGTACCTTTTCTCACAACAATGGGAAGGTCTACATCGTTTTTTGGATTATCAGGTGTTTCAACACATTGTGTGGGTAAAGGTGGGTAAGATCTTAACATGATCTCATTTCCAGAATCTGGGTTGGATTCTTGGACTTGTATCAGTTCTCAAACGGCTTTTCTCCTTGAATACACTTGAGTAAGCCTTGGTAACTTTTGACTTGCACTGGTAGGGACAAGTGGTGACACGGGTTCAATAGTAGAATTGGGTGGCTCATATGTGATTAGGTCAGAGGTTTCAGATTCAACAACATGGCTGGAAGCTGAGGAAGGTGAAGGGTTTTAATTAGTTGAAAGGACTCACAAGTACTATCTTCCATCATTGAAATCTCCCCTTAAAGAGAGGACTTAGAGAAAAAAATGTTTATTTCCTGTGAATGTGACATCTACAGAGATGTAAAATTTTCTAGATGAAGGGTTGTAACACTTGTATCCCTTTTGAGTAGATGAGCAACCAAGGAAAACATATTTTATAGTTTGGGGATCTAACTTGCCTTTGTTGGTTGTGGATATGAACAAAGGCAATGCACCCAAATACTCTGAGTATTAGGCCATTTGAGGTTCTGAAGTGAGAGTAAAAATTGTTAAGGATTTCTATGGGATTTTTGTTGTTTAATACATATGAGAAATGTTTATTTATCAGGTGTGTGACAGTAAGAATAGTCTCTTCCCAATAGGACTTAAGAACATTCCTTTGAAAGAGTAAGGCTCGGACGATGGTGTTAAGTAAGTGCCCGTTTTTTTTTTTTCAACTATCCCATTTTGCTGAGATGTGTTAACACATGATGATTCATGGATAATGCCCTGTGATTGAAAATAAAGTGACAAAATTTGGTTGAAGTAGTCTTTAGCATTGTCTGTCCTAAAGGTTTTTATTTTAACCCCAAATTGGTTTTGAACCATTGAGTGGAAGTTGGGTATAACAATGTTAACATCAAATTTTTGTTTAAGAAGAAAGAGGCAAGTAATCCGAGTGCAATCATCAGTTAAGGATATAAATCAACGAGCCCCTGAAACACAATTATGTTTTTTTAATTCACAAGTGTCACCATGAAATTCAGACATATCTAATCCATGGAATAAATGAGAAAACGTGACTTTTAAGACTCTAAAAGATGGATGACCTAGGCGTAGGTGATACAGCCAAATGATATCTTTATTTGTGAAATTGAAGAAAACCAATGACAAATTGCTTCTACCATTTTTTTAATGATCTAAGGTGTATAGACCGCTTCTTTCCTTAGTAAATCCAATCCTCTTCCTCGAATGTTGATCCTGAAGAACATAATAAAAAGGGAAAAAAGTGACATAACATTTAAGATCATGGGTTAGTTTTTAAATGAAAACCAGATTGGTTGATAGTTTTGGTACATAGAGGACATTTTTAAGGGTAATGGTAGGTGTGATGTGTATATCTTTGAACCCTGCAATAATAGCTAAAGAGCCATTGGCCACTAAAATTTTCCTATTACTTGGGCATGGAGTATAGGTGTGAAAGAGTTGAGGTATGGGGGTTATATGATTTATGGCATCAGAATCTTTTATCCAAGGATTAGTATATAATGTTTCCAACGCATTCATGCAAAAAGAGAACGAAGGTTTACTTGTAAGAGCCAGAGAACAAGTTCCAGAAGGCTTCCCAAGAGACCCCAACAGGTTTTTCAGCTTCTCAATTTCTTCATTGTTGAATCCCCTTGTTGTTGAATTTTCTTCAGTTTTGGGTTGCTCTACCATATGTGTCTGAGGCCTTTGTTGCCCCCCACGATTCCCCCATTCTCGGCTTGGTGGCTTACCATTCAGTTTCCAACACTTCTCCCTTGTGTGCCTCAGTTTCTTGCAATAGGTGCACTAGAGATTGTCCTTGTTCTCCTTCCACTGGTTTTCTCTACCAGGGTGTTGAGTTAGATTACCCTTTCCTTTCTTCTGATGATCTGTTTTTGCTATTAGGATTGACTCGTTCACGGTTTGTTGTGTTTGAAGCATAACGTTCCTTCGGATTTGGATCCTAACCTGATCAAATCAATGATATTGTCTCTTCTAGAGGAGGGGTGTCCTCCTTTCTAAGGATTTGGATCCTAACCTGATCGAATTCAGAATTCAATCCAACCAAAAAATCATAGACCCAATATTTTTCAATGAAGTTCTTCAAGATGACAACATTCTCGAGGTGTTTCATCTTAAAAACGCAGTATTGATCAAGTTTTTGCCACAGGTTTTACAGCAAGTTTGCATATTCTGTGACAGATTTGTTTCCTTGCTTAGTGGCCGCAATTCTTATCTTGATCTCGTACACTTGAGCCGCATCATGGGCCTTCGAATATGTGCGACGAATGAAATCCCAAATTTCCTTTGTTGTAGCTAAAAACATACACGTATCACTGATCGTGGGATCCATAGAATCTCATAACCAAGATATTATCATGAAATCCTCTTCATCCGATGCTTCAAATGATGGATCATCCTTTGCCGGTCTCATTCCAAGAAGGTAATTAAGTCTCCCTTTGCCCTAGAGGTATGTGTGGACAAATTGAGACCATTTGAAATAATTTTCCCGATTGAGCCTATTGGAGGCCCAAATATTCTGCAATTCTCCAATTTTCTGAACAGAATTGGACTCTTCGGGTGGATTTGAATTGCTGGAGGCAGCGGTGTCGGTGGTTTGGGAGGTTGACATGATGAAGGAAGGAAATCAGCAGCAATTAAGACTGCCCAAACCGGAATTAAAGAAGGAGAAATAAAAAACAAGATTAGCAATGAAGGCTGAAAGGAAGATCATTCAGCAATTAAGGCTGAAGAGAAAAGAGACAGAATTCCCATTAAAGAGTTTAGAGCTCTGATATCATGTGAGGAAATATGAGAAGAAAAGAAATATCTCTATTTCTGAATTGATAATACATAGTATTATATAGTAGGTTACAAGAGAAAAAAATAGGAAACTAACTCGTTTCTAAATAGGACACTAACTCATTAGGAAACCTACTCATTCCTAAATAGAACATTAATTTATTAGGAAACCTAATCTCCTAATCCCTCAATTTACAGGATTTCCAAGTAATTCTCCTAATCTCTTGCTAGCATATCTATATCTTGACAATATTAAATAGAAATAAACAGAGACATGGAACTATCACATCTAAAATGTCTTTCAGAGTCATTCTAGGATAAACTGTTGCAAACATCTTAGCCTGTATTTTGTTGCTCTTGGTGAAAAGATACTATTTATAGTGCTATGGAGTTTCTCATATTCTTATAGGATTAAGCAGTCAAAGCATAACTATGTCCAATGGTTTTTGTCATGATATGATTTTGTGCTAATATGAACTCTTGTAGTATGTTAGATCTTTTGATATCTTAACTATAATGTTGTATTTATTTTAATAATCTAACGTTTGTTTACTTGTCATGTCACATATAAGGGCGTCATATGTTATGCCTTACAGGCTAAAGATGCTTTTTACAGCTTGGTAGACTAGCATGCATGTGTATGTTGTATATCAGACATAACCATAAAGTTGTGCCCCATCACGGAGCATTAATTTGGGTTGCCACCTTGTTTTGTTAATATTGCTTGGGTGTCCGCATCTCAGCTATGTTTTGCATCTAAGTTGCATATTCTTGTTTCTTTTAACAGGAATAAGATATGATGACAAAAGTGGCAGTGACAAGCAGAGCCACTGACAAGGGAGCCTGTCAATCCCTATTGATCTAGTTTCAGAGCAATCACACATTAACAAATGACCATAAAGAGAGTTCGATTTGGTACTTTCTATCCTCTAATGGCTCTGGCGAGGGTATGTTCTTCTTCGCGGAAGTCTTCTTATGCAATCAAAGTCCTCAATCTGTCACTTAGACATCTCAGCACAATTGCTGCCGTTCAAAGATCGGATTCCCAAAATACCGATTCTCATCACCTAGACAATTTGTCAGATGACCCCAATATTCCTACTCCAGGGTTTAGCACTTACACGGGGTTTGAGCACAGACCAAACACTCATGAGCCTTCTGGGGTAAATCCTGGGAATTATTATTTTATGAAGAACTCAGTTTTCGATGAAACAAATAGGAAATTTAGCAGTTTTCAGTATCAAAATCCAAGTGGTATTTGTGGCGGCAGTTTTGCAAGTGAAAGTCACCACAGTGCTACAGTTGGGCAAAATGGTAACTTTAGTGGGCATTATGATGCCCAGTATAATCATAATAACGGGGTTCCTTTTGAGGAAAATAAAAATGAAATTCATCAGAATTGTACAGGGGTTTATAAAGAAAATATAAGAAACAATTTTCAGAGCAATCCCGTTGTGCAATACCAAATATCAACTAACCCTCAAGCCGAAGCTGAGGGGAACTTCGAGGCTAAGACTTCTGAAATAGAATACAGTGGTGGAATTGAGGAGCTGGATGAATTTATAAAAGAAGGGAAAGTCAAGGAAGCTGTGAAACTTTTGGCATTGCTAGAAAATAAGGGGGATGTTGTTGAATCGGTCAAATTTTTATCCTTAATTAATGCATGTGCAGAAGCAGAAGCTTTACAAGAAGCAAGAGCTGTTCATGAACATGTTATGAGATCACTGTCCCCTTTGAAAGTCAGCATCTATAACAAGATTTTGGAGATGTATTTGAAATGCGGTTCTTCTGATGATGCATTTTGTGTTTTTGATAAAATGCCTGAACGCAATTTAACAACTTGGGACACAATGATACAGGGGCTTGCTAAAAATGGCCTTGGAGAGGATGCCATTGATATCTTCCTTCGGTTTAAGAAAGCAGGACTAAAACCTGATGGACAAATGTTTATTGGTGTGTTCTCTGCCTGCACTGTCTTGGGTGATATTGACGAAGGTTTTTTACATTTTGAGTCAATGTGTAAAGATTATGATCTTGTCCCAGCCATGGAGCACTATGTGAGTCTTGTTCACATGCTTGGAAGTACAGGTCATCTTGATGAAGCATTTGATTTTATAGAAAAGATGCCTGTAGAGCCAACTGTTGATGTTTGGGAGGCCTTGATGACTCTCTGTAGAGTTCATGGGAACTTGGATCTTGGGGATCGATGTGCAGAGCTTGTTGGACAGTTAGATCCCTCCCACTTGAATGAACAAGCAAAGGCAGGTATTGTACCAGTAAAAGCTTCAGACCTTGCAAAGGAGGAAAGGAAGAAGAAGCTGGCGAGCCAAAATCCTCTAGAAATTAGGAGCAGGGTCCATGAATATCGAGCAGGAGATACATCCCATCCTGACAATGATCGGATCTACGCATTACTCAGGGGTTTAAGAGAACAAATGAAAGAAGAAGGTTATATTCCAGAGACGAGATTTGTGTTGCATGACATAGACCAGGAAAGCAAGGAAGAAGCTCTTCTTGCTCATAGTGAGAGACTTGCTTCTGCTCAAGGTTTCTTGACCTCTCCAGCGCGTTCACCCATTCGTGTGATTAAGAATCTTCGTGTTTGTGGTGATTGCCATAATGCCTTGAAGATCATTTCAAAAATTGTTGGTAGAGAATTGATAATGCGAGATGCCAAGAGATTCCACCATTTCAAAAATGGTGTGTGTTCATGTCGAGATTATTGGTGATCAGGATGGATTTAATCAGGTACCAGTTAGCTCATTATCATTTTCCCTTTTGGGAACAAGAAAGTTTTGAACCTTGCACATATGTGCATTTTTAATTTTGTTAATTCCTAGCAAGCACATGCATAATTGTTAACTTATGATTTAAGCTTTGAAATTGTTCTGTCACGCTGTTCAGTCAAAAGACATGTAGTAATTTGTGTAAGTTCTGAGGTTTGCAAAAACTTCTAGTGATTGAAGTCTGTTTCTTTAGTTAATAGGAAAAATGATTTCAATTAATGAATCTTCCATGTGAAAAAGAAAAAGGATCTCAATTTATGAATCGTCCATGTGAAAGAGAAATCATATTTTAAATAGTTTTAGAACCTATGAAAGTTAACTTGGAGCTCACCTTCTATATTATTTAACAGTCAGCCAATGCCAATTTTTGTTTTTTTCTCTGATCCCATAAAGGACTCTTGCTGCTGTAGGAAGTAGGATCCATTGTCACATTCTGTAGCTTTGTCAGAACAGTGCAATTTAGGGTCTCTGGTCTGTGGAGATTTGTTTGTTTCCTTGAAATTAGTAACAGATGTCTTTATAGAAAAGGATATGGTTATTAACTTCTGCCTTCTTTCTTTCTTTCAGCACTTCTAACTATTTGTTTATTATTGGAAAAGAAACTTTATAATTGACTCTAATCAAATGGCACAAGATGGTACTGCTTATATACAGAATGAAAAATTTATTTGGCATGAGAAAATCCCATAAAATCACCCAATTATATTTTTCCTCTGTGTTTGGTACTACTTTTTAAGGGGGGCAAGCAGACAAGCCTGGTAGCAAATAGTTCAGATTTAGTTTGTTCTAAGTTCCAATAGAGTCAGTCAAATTTAAATTTATAGTTGAAGCCTAAGTTCTAAAATAAAAAAGGCACATTTTACCAGTTGATTTATACTTGAGCTTGAAATGTTTGGTCTGAGAGCTCGGAATATTTTCATTTCTCTATTATTAAAATAAATATTGTTTGTATTATATGACATATGTCCAAATTATATGTTTATGTTATATTAACATTATAATACAAATTATATATTAATAAACTGAATATATATCAATTATTTATGTTCTTGAAAAGAAAAAGTATATCAATAGGAAATAGTTTGCTAGGGCTCTAGTTTTGACATTTCTTTCTTGGTGTAGTTGTCCCCCAAGAGCATTTTCTTCCCCTAGCTGACCAATTATGGCAAATCTCTTTCCTCCTTTCCCAGTCAACTTACAAGGGCTCCCTCTCCTACTTTTAGTGCAGTCATTGAAGTACATGGGATCATTCCCTTGTTGGGTTATGACTCGATTTCCATAGATGTTTTTGTTCAATTTCCTTCATTTCCAAAAAATAAAAAATAAAAAAATTCTTTCATTTCTGGTTTTGGCTGGATATATATTAACTTGTCATAAAACTGGTACTTATTTAAGCTTAGTTTGGAATAAATGAATTTCATTATGGAATTCATTCCTATCTTTGACTAAATCATTATGTTTTTGGTTTTGAAATGTAAATCATAATGTTTTGTAGAATTCAATCAAAATGTTTGTTTGAAATAAATTTATTTTATTGATTTGTATCTTTACATAAATATTTATGTTCTTAAGAAATATATTAATTAATATTACAACTGTTTTGGTTTAACTTCAATAAGTTACAAAAACTTACTTTTTATCAGATAAAAAACAGTAACTTCTTTTGAGTGTATATATAGACTTGTTAATGTAAGAGGATAATACTATTTTAAGTTGTTTCTGAAAGGAGATCTTGTTTTATTTGTTTTTAGACAATCTTTAGCAATGAAGAATATATTGGGTGTGGACTCAAATGTCTTCAGAGAATATATGTATGCTTAACTTAAGAGAATAAGAGGGTTTTATACTATTTTCAGTGAATTTATTTTATTAACCTGGATGTTAATGATAAATGCTTAGGTATCTTACCTAAATTCTGAAAGTAGTTTGAAGTGTCTTCAATGTTACTGTTGTTGCAGGTGCCTTGTTTTGGTTATCCGACTTTTTTTTGTTTTTTGTTTTTTGTGTTTTGTTTTTGTTGTTCCTATAGGAGAGAACAATTTGAAGTCTTGGGTTATGCAATTTTCTGCTACATAGCTCAAGCATTCTGAGCTTGTTGACTTGCGTTTCAAAAATGGAATGTTGGTTGAGCATGTTATCTTTTAAAGGTTCATTCATAGGGCAATGTCTTTTGTTTTTGTTGTTCCTATAGGAGAGAACAATTTGAAGTCTCGAGTTATTCAATTTTCTGCGACATAGCGCGAGCATTCCGAGCTTGTTGACTTGATGTTGAGGATGTTATTTTTTTGAAGGTTCATTCATATGGCAATAAGAAAGAAAAGAGAGATGCGGTATTGTTTTTTTAGTTATTTATAGGATAGTGGAACAATCGGATGACTTTTCTTCCATAGAAAAGGATTAAGGTGTTGTTTGATGAAGAAACAATCGAATTCTTGTAATCTTCTTTTATTGTTATTTTTATTTTTCGTGTTTTTTCTTTCAACATATTTTTAAACACCCATATCTCCATTTGATTTGCAAATATTTTAATTATTTATGGATGAATGTTACAGCCACATGATGCAAAATAGACAGGTCAATGAAAATGCATGCTAAAAACATATTTGGTGAATTAATTTTCACCACAGGATAGGAGTTCAACACCTTACTCTGTATTATTTTGGACTTCCAATTGTTAATTTAGACTAACCCTGCAGTCTGGTTTTCTGGGATAATATATATATATATATTTTTTTCAATGGTTTGTTCATGAAATAAAATGGAATTATGTTGCAGAAGATCATAAATATTTTTAGTTTAATAGCTGTAGTGGTAGATGGGTAATAAAAGAATTACTACACTATCCACACTCATACGCCTACTCATGGTACGTCTTGAAATTGTAAATTTTTCAATGGATTTTCTATGAGAAATCAACTAATCTAAGTTACGTGTAATCCCCAGGTAAATAAGAAACACATTTAGATTTGATTTCAAGAATTTATCCAACTAAAATAACTTGACCTTTGTATCTTATTATCCTTCTTTCGTGTGCATTGGAGTCAATCTTGTCTGTAAAATTTCCCAAGCATTTCCACTTTGATGGCATCATAAAGAATACAATATTGTCGGCCACCATTACTCTCCTTTGGAGGATTTCTTTCTTACAAACATTTTTTATGGAAATGGAATTTTCTAGAGGAATGGGCTATATTTGATTTTTTTTTTTCTTTTTCTTTTTCCGTTTACCTTCTTAATGTGGAATTCTAATTTTTATTTTTTTTCAAAAATGGGGATGACAACCGAACGAGTTCGAGGTAAATTTTATCAAACTCGAATACGCTCACTCCTTCAAAAAACAAATTTGAAATTCATCCAAAACGATGAACCCGAAGTACATTTGTATTTGTTTTTATTTTTTAAGTGCATCGAGTTTATAATTTATCTGATCTTAAGGGGATCTAATTATTTTATTATATTAATATAAATATTATTATATTTAATAAAAAAAATAAATATATGTTTATTAATGTATTTAACTTATGTGTTAATTATTTTAATTAATATAATGTATTTTATTTTTTATACGGTATAAATATACTTAAAATAATAGAAAGTAAATAATATTTATACATATAACGATTCAAATAATTTTAAAAGGTCAAATTTGAACCCTCTTGACCCATCTTTTTTTTTTTTTGTGCCTCAACCCGAATCTAGTTAATCAGAACTTGCATTTTAACGAGAAAAAATCGTATCGAATTCAATTTTGATAGATTGAATTAAAATAAATTCTTATACAAACTGTTATCCATGTTCAAAAGTTTTAATTATAGGACAAAAAATAAGAGTATCTTCTAAACAATATTTTGTATGAACGTGAAGCCTAAAATCCTTAAAAGTATGATTATGGATAATTTAATTCACTTGTCCCTTCTTCAAAGATTTCTTCATCTATAAATACCAAAAGAAACATTAAGCTTTTGCGCAATCTCACAAGACAATTTGAAGAAAAAGTTGTAAAAAAATTTTATGAGCTTCCAATTTGTATACTTGACAAGTACATCTTTGATTTTATTTTTTTTCTTCAAAATTGGTTAATGTAAATATCTTATAAGAAGAGTGGTTGTCACACTAACCTTAGTATGGATTAGATATAGGAAAATTATTGTGCTTAAACCCTAAGAAAAACATTGTTCTTAGGCTTAGCGGAAGCCTAACTTTAAAAAGTTAGTTCTAGGTAAGTTATTAAAAAGACAGAAAATTCATTATACCTAAATCATTAAAAGAACATGTTTTTCAAATTTATCTTGACAAATGAAAGTTAGTGTTTTAATTATGTTTTAGTAAGAATGACGTATTTTTTCGTTGAATTCAATTTGCAATAATTTTTTTTTTTAAATTACAGTTTGAATTTAATTTTTCTTTATATTATTTGAGTCAGAGTTTGACAAAAAAATAGTATAGTATTAAAATGAATGGAGTTCAAGCTTGGACTACCAAAACTCGTTAAAACCCGATCTATATATATATTTTTTTATTTTTATTAATATAAACACAAATATATTTATATTTATGAATTAAATTTATATTTATATTAAATATAATTATATTTATCCACATTTCAAATAAATAAATAATCTTCCAATCTCACTTCAGGTAAGGGTGAAATTTGCATGTTGTTATATTTACGTTTTAACTGCTAAAAAAATGCTAATTTTATTTTAATGAATGCATTCAAAATCTTTGAAGTGATGATATTTAAAGGTCTGTGTATGTATGTGCATGATCTAATTACCAAGCAATTAAACATTACCTTTTTTAGTATTTAATTTTTGCTATTTTAAATTATTTATTGTTTATATGAAAATTTTAAACTATATAAATAATTTTTTGTTCAGCTATTCATCCCCTTCTAGTTGTTTACAATGTGATTGATTGAAAGGGTTGTTGGTATGATGGGTTAAAACAGTAGTTCTACACCATGAAGATTCAAACGTAGCTGAAAGAGGGAGAGAAGGGATCATGAGAAGAGTATGAGACGGTGGTCACGTAGATGTATAGAATTTGGTATATTACTAAAATTGAAAATTTATTTTGTGAAAGCTCTACTATGTTTTTATTCTATTCTATAAAGTTGCAATTTGCATATACAGCATTTATTTATACAAGTAAATTATTTTACAGATCAACCCTAGTTTGAAATTTTAAGATTTAATTTTTTTAAATAAAAAATTTTATAATAATTATTCATTAATGATTTTATTAACTAATAGGAATTTCATATTACTTTTTAAAATAATTTACTTCGATTATTCTTCCTTAATAAGGATAACAACACGCTTTACTAGTAATATTATTTTAATACACCATAAATATTTAAATGCTATACCACCATATTATAAGACGAAATAATTATTATAGTTACAAGTTGATTTAATGTTACCTTTTATTATTATGAGTGACATAAAAATTAAAAAATAATTAATAAATTTTACAAAATTATTTATAAATTTAATTATGTGATGGAATATAATAAGACATAATCTTAGATTGGATGTAGAATAATTGGTCATGGTAGAAAAATCATGCTAAAACACGCCATCCATGCGCACTTAGGGACAAAACAGTTGCAACCCAGACCCAAAATGCGTCCAAGTTAACCTCCTCCTCCCATCAAAACTCCCATGGAATCCAAGCACCCTTCTCTCTTTCTCGCAAGTCTCAACTGAAAGAAAAAGGCCCAGAAAGAGGGAATAAAAATGGCTGATCAACTCATCGAGACCAACATTCCACAACAGAAGCACTATAATTCCGTTCCTTTCCCTGTGGTTCTCTCGCCAAAATCAACAATTCCTTTCTCTCTATCGCTTTTCAGACAAACGATTAACACCCATAAACCCTTCATCGATTCCTTGTTACACACGGCAGGAGCGGTGCTCTTTAGAGGTTTCCCTGTCACTACTGCTGAGGACTTCAATTACGTCGTTGAGGCGTTTGGTTACGAGGAGTTGCCCTACGTCGGAGGTGCCGCTCCTCGTACTAACGTTTTGGGTAGAGTCTTTACGTCCAATGAGTCCCCTCCTGAACAGAAGATTCCTTTCCACCATGAAATGGCCCAGGTATTTGCTCCTTTTTTTTTAAAAAAAAAAACTGTATCTTCTTTTACGGTTAATAACTAGCAAGGATTTGCCTTCAATTGGTCAAGTATTGTGTGTACAGAAATTCAAGTTCAGTTTACTTGAGATTCATGGCTATTTTGGGTCCCAATTTTATCTGCGGGTTTTTCACCAGACTGGGTTTTTCGTATTGTTATATTCGGTATTGTGTAGGTTTTATTTTCTGTTTGTTGTGAATCAATATCTTGAATTTCTCATGTTTGCTAAGTGAGTGTTTTTGTTTTCTTTTGTCATTTGACTGGTAATGTATTTGTCTTAAGTTTGATATCTTATTTCCTGATAAATTTCAGCTCAAGAGGTTAGTATGTTATGAGAACCTAAATGCTTATGTGCATCCTTCTTTTGGTTGGTTTTGTAGTGGTTTCGTTTAGTGTTGTCTTCCGGGCCATAGTCTCCCATATGGGATTCCCTCACTTTTTATTATCTCTCTCGCTCTCTATCTCATTAGAAGTTGGGCTATGATACAAATAGTTTTTAAACTGGTCCCATGGATAATGTAGACAAGGCAGATGAAATTATAAAGGGAAACAAACATAGGGAGAAGTAGACTGAATATGATACGTTAGACAAAATAATAACTAGGAAAAACAAGCAGAGAGAGATAACAGAGAACAAAAACTCAGAGAAAGATAACAGAGAATAAAAACCCAGCAAAGAAATTATTAATTTCTTATTATTTATCCTCTTTCTCGTTGCTATTAGCTTTATGCATGTATTAATTACCACCAATATGGAAATTACAAATAAGAAATTAAAAAATTCTAATTTCCGTAATACTTAATCTCCTTAAGATAAAAACTAAAATATTAAAATGTCTAAATAAATCTAAATAATCTAAATTACTTAAAGATACAAAATTATAAAAACTTCTTTAATTGAAAATTTGTTCCAAATAAAATCTTTTTGCCATGTTGGTTTATGGGCAATAAGCACAATAAAGAATTGATCCTTTATGGTTCCTTCTTTGTTGTGGATCCTATTGGTTTGGTGACCTATAACTTAAGCTTGCTGAAGATTCTAAGTTGCATTTTGTCTTCCTTGTCTCTTTTTTGAAGAAGTTTCACGCACGGCAACTTGCTTTTCCGGATGTTCTCTTCGTTACCTTTCCTCAACTTGGGATTCCTATTCCTACTCCTTAGGCTTTATTAGGTTCCTAGATTTGCCATGGTCCGCGTGAAGTGTTAATCCATTGGGAAGATGGGTATACCACGTTCCCCTTGCCATAATTGCAATGATCTGAGTTGAAGGAATTTATTTGTCTTCTTTCTTCTTTCGGTAGGATATGGCACATTCCCCTTACTGACAATCTCAATGAGAAAGAGTTTGAGGAATTCATTTGGCTTCTTCCTTAGATAAATGTGATGGACAAAAAATAGTGATGATGTGCAAATTTGACGGTCACAAAGAATGGAGGGATCTCAATAAATTCTTTCTATTGACTTTGAGCAAAGATCTCATCTTTGACGGGTTTCCATGGGAACAGTTTTGGAAACTCAAAATATCTCCTTAGGCGGCCTTTTTTTGTTTGGAAAGAAGCTCAGGTTTGCATTCTCACCATGGAGAACTTTAGGCTAAGAGCTGTTTGTCCTGAAAATATATGGCCCCTTTCCCTACGTGACAATAAATCTTGCAACCATCTCCTCTTATGTTGATTGGAGAGGAGAAGATTCACTAGCCTGATGGGCATAAGTTGGGATATTAGATGGCTCTTTTTCCTTTGAACTTCTGGTTTGGGATAGTGTTCAGGTTTCCAAGAATGAAAAGCTGAACCTGAGATGAATTCAAGGTTCTTCAAAAATCAATTTTCTCATTTTTTATTTCTCTGGGATAGATTGATTATTTTGGGATTCCTCTGGGCTAAGGCGTGCATGGCTTCAATCATAATATTTCTTTATCTACTTCCAGTGGAAATTGATTGGCTATTCTTTAGTTAGTTGTTTTTTTTTTCTTTTTTCTCATGCCTTTATCATTTAAAAATTTGTTTTCCTCTAGTAGGTCAACTATTCCTCCGCACCATTAATTTCCCCTGTAAGAATATTTTCTTTCCTATCCAAAAAATGAACAGGAAGCTTATTACCCTCACCATATTTTGGATCATCTGGAGACAACATAAATTATTTGACATTGTTATATCTAATTTTCTAGGATCAGAAGTTTGGTGGTTCCAGACCACATTTATTTTGTTCAGAAGTCTTCCTTTTCATTTTGGAGAAGATCTTGAGGAGCTTTTAAATATTTTGGCTGATCCTTCTATGTAAAGTTTCTTGCTTCTGTACTTTAGTGGCACCCCTTGGTGCCTTTTGTTTATAATATCATTTTTCTGCTAAAGAATTGTTTGCTCTATCGACTGAGGTTTGTATGATTTATATGTATTTTAGAATTTTTATTTTTGTTCAATTATGACCATTTTAATAGAATAACTTCATAGCATGTAGCGTTGTGTTCTGTTGCAATTCCATACCCTGCTTTTGAACTTGCCAGGTTGACGTCCACAGGTCCCTGAATTCCCATCAAAACTATTTTTCTTTTGTGAGGTAGAGCCAGTAAGTGGAGGAGAAACTCCTATTGCTCTTAGCCACATTGTGTATGAGAGGATGAAGACGAGGCACCCAGAATTTGTTGAACAATTAGAGGAGCATGGTCTGATCTACACACGAATATTGGGGGAAGACGATGACCCTTCATCTCCAATTGGCCGCGGGTGGAAATCAACATTCATGACAAAGGACAAGAGTGTGGCTGAGGAAAGGTTTGTTAGTTATTGCAAGTTCCGGTCTTGATAATCACTTTCACATAAAAGTTAATGTATCTGATTTCATTTGGGTTTTATAATTATGCAGTTGTATGAGAGAATTCTTTCAAGCATTGATGCATATCAGTTCATTATAGTGACATGCCGATACTTTGGCACAAGCCAGTTATTTAACTTATTTGGTTACAAAATGATGGAATAGATCTTTTTTCTTAGCTTAATTCTATTAATGGGGAAACCACAAAATTGCTGGCAAGTAGTTGTTCGTCAATGTAGGTGGAGTTGCAAGCTTATGGTCTAGAAGCTTATTTGAAATATATATTGCTGCAGGCTAAGCTGGTCCTACGACTGAAAGTAGATTCACCTCTGGATAATGTACATATGTCCGAAAAAACTTAGTTACTTGGAGAAGTAAGAAACAGTCCATGATATCAAGGAGTAGTACTGAAACTAAGTTTAGAGCTTTAACATATGGTATTTATGAATGAATGTGACTACAAAGGGTAGTGACTGAATTAAGAATTCCCTCTTCAGAGCCTATAAAAGTGTTATTTGATAATTAATTCACAATAAGTGTGGCAAAGAACCCATTTCATCATGATCGAATTAAGTATGTGAAGATTGATAGAAACTTTGTTAAAAAGAAGATAGAGTCAAGAGCACTATCCTTGTGACACATTCAGTCTTGCCATCAAACTGCAGATATTTTCATTAAGGCGTTACCTAAGAAGACTTTCAAAGAACTAAGTTCTAAACTTGGTTTGCTCAACATCTTGAAAAACTAGTTTGAGGGGGAATATAGGAATCCTATACAGATTGGTCTATTTAGGGAAATCTCCTTACAAAGCAGAATCATAGTTGACTTTCATAATTGGAAGCTTTTTTTTTTTTATGAAATTAATTTATATTTAGCTCTCTACTAAATCTCTTTTAAGTATTCTCCTATGTATATTTAGCTATTGTAAATTAAATATCATGAATAAAAATTCAGTAAACAGATAATTTAATTAGAAATTTTCAAAATACAGTCTGTATTCACGTTTGCACTGACTGCATATAGAAAAGCTTAACTCTAATAGTTGAAATCCAAGAGATTCACAGGAAACTGGCGGTAGAAACCCAAACAAAAAGAACAAAGAATAAGACAAGATGATTACCTGAAATGTAAATTAAGCATTAACCAATTCTCTAAAGTCATAAAGATGACACAAGCACAAACTTGTATGGCAAAATGTGAGAAAAAGATAAACTAAAAGCTAATAAAAATTTAAACATTGCCAGATAATGCTGCTGCAAGAACTGGAGAACAGTTAACAGAGCCCAGGGCTCTGACCGCGTGCCTGTTGAAGAATGAGCCGGCGACTCATAGGCAGTGGCTTGGTTAAGGGAACCCACCGGACAGCTATCATTTTGGGACCCATTGTAAAGGAAACCCAGATCATCATCAGGAAGCATCTCAAGGACACAACAAAAAAGCCTTAATCTCGACAAAGGCGTTCCAGGGGTGACAGTAAAGACATATGGAATCCAAGATAGATACAAGAAGAGGGCTTTGTGCAGGATAAAAATAATGTGGGAGAAACAGGTCGTGAGCAGGGAGGCAGTATCTACACCACTTGCTATTTCCAATAGTTAGTCGCATTATTTCTTGCAATGTGAGGGATCTCAATGACCAAAGCCAGAGAGTGTTAATTAAGTTGAAGAGTGGAAAGGGGAACTGGTGTGCCTTAAAGGGATAAAGATTGATGGTATGAGCATTAACCTGACCAGAATTGACACCTTGGACCATTATCCTATATGGCTTGATCTACATGGTTTTAAATGGGTCCCAAATTCCAATTTAATTTGAGAAGAAACAACTCAAGGGGTTAGCTTTAGCTATATGGTTTAGGCTTGGTGGAAGGAATCAAATCTTGTTGGCTTACAACCTTTAAAGTTGGCTGAAACTTCCACTAAGAAGAAGTTAAAGGCCTTGGAGTTTTGAGGTTAGGGCCAATGAGTTGATTAGAGGAAGAACATTCCTTGTGAGATCAAGGAGCTTGATAGAAAAGATTCTACTTTGGAGCTTTTGGAAGCTGAAAGGGAGAGAAGATAGTTGGCTAAATTGGAGTTGGCTTTATTGGATACTTCTAGAGGAGATTTCTTGGAGACAAGTCTTAGACTAATTTGGTTCAGAGAAGAGGACGAAATACTAATTTCTTTCATAGGATGGCCAACTACCACCGTAAGACAATCTTTTTGGATAGGATAGGATCCTTTTGGTGGCATAGAAATTTGACATTGATAAAGACTTAATAGAAGTGATCAAGGACTTAATAGAATTTGACATTGATAAAGATCCAAAACTCAAAAACATAAAATCAAATTCCCGAAAGTCAACAATATATTGGTAAAAAACAAAACAATCTCACAAATTATGTTTGACTCATCAAGTGGATAGTAAAGAAGGATACATCAGAGTTTCCGTAGACTTGTGTGTCAACTTCTAATTAGTGGACTGCAGAGTTTAGTTTTCTAAAATGCATCAGTTTGAACAACCAACGAGAAAGAAGAACAGGCCAAGTTTCATCATTTTCTTTTCTCATGCATTTTAATGAGTTAGATATGGATTTTCTCGTTCTTTTTTTGGAGTTATTGACAGTTTTATTTGACTACCTGTAATTCGTTATTATAAATTAATGGTTGTATGATACTAAACTTATTATGTTACCAAAGTTTATTCCACTAACAAAACCTGCAACCAGGGCTAACAAGCTGGGGATGAAGTTGGAGTGGATGGAAGAGGGAGTGAAAACTGTAATGGGTCCAATCCCAGCTATTAAGTATGACAAGTCAAGACAACGTAAAATTTGGTTCAATAGCATGGTAGCTGCTTATACAGGCTGGGAAGATGCTCGGAATGATCCTGTGAAGGCAGTCACTTTCGGGGATGGGAGACCACTCCCAGGTGATATCATCTATGATTGTTTAAGAATCCTTGAAGAGGAATGTGTTGCCATTCCGTGGCAGAAAGGTGACGTTCTACTTGTAGATAACTGGGCAGTCCTCCACTCTCGAAGGCCTTTCAAACCTCCTCGCCGTATTCTAGCCTCACTTTGCAAATAGCTTTTGATCAGACCTCGCATTGTCAACTGCTTCTCCTCTGTGGTTAAATGCATTATACTTGTATGGTATTTCCTTTGTTTACCATATTAAACTTCTTTGTGCTTGTATACTGCATTGACATGGAAAGTTGTTGGAAGTGAACTCAATCTAACACTTGTTCCACAGGCTAGAATCATATTTGTTTTGGCTTTTGGTCTTTTTTCCCCTTTAGGGATACTACACCCTTTCTGAATTAGACCCAATAAACAGTAACAAGGGCTGGGCATATATGACCACTGGTTACCATGCTTGGCATTGTGGCTTTTGTTCTTATTTCTATCACGATTAAGACAAATCGGCCATATTACAGCCATATATGTGAGTCCTGTATAAAATCCAACTGCTGAACTGATTTTATTAATATATATTTAAATATCATTTGATAGTATCATGCTGCATTTTTGGAATTGAAGTAGCTTACGTGTTCTTTCTACAAATTGAAGGGATCTGAAGGGGTGATGAATGTAGTTAAATCTTTTGTACTCTTAATTATCTTTATCTATTGCGAAACATTGGATTTTGAGATATAATTATTGTTTGCAGAGCTAGTCTTTCATTGTAGCACTGCCAATATGTAAATCTCTCATTCTTCCCACAGCTACTAAAAGCATAAAATCTATTATCTCCCGGTGAGAATAAAGAAGCATTTAACAACTTGGGTTTAACATATGAGAAAAGTTCATGTAGTTTATGACTTTGTTCAAATTAGCTCATACAAACTTTGTATTCAAATTAAACCCGTACTTTCAAAATTGATTCAAATTAGCTCTTACAATACTTAGTTTAGTCGCTATTGAACTTTGTACCCAGTGTAGCTGCTCACCTGGCTACACTAGATAATTTTATTTAAACATTTGTCAACATAACATCTACATGAATAAAATGTTGGCAAAAAACCCTTTTTATTTCCTAAAGCTCCTTTCACCATGCCTGAAAATTCCCTAGCTTTTCCTATCTTCTTTATTCTTTTCTATCCGATCTGGTCCACAGTCATCTTCTTTGTGCATCCTCCTGCAGCTTGAGGTGAGAACCCATAGGTCTTGTGTGACTCATTTTCTTCCCACAGCTCCAGTCCAAATTTTTTTGTTGCTAACCGCCTGATTTAATTTCAATGAAAATCTCAAAGCTTCATTCCTCACCTTCGAAATCATGAATTCTAACCAATTTGATACTCCAAGCCTTCAATTGAACATTTGTGTCTGTCTTTTACCGTTAGCTGTAATCATGAAAATGTTGAATTTAGTGAACTCTTCGGACTGTCCCCCATTGCAAAATCCCAATGTCAATCATAAAGGTACCATTTTCTGTTTGTCATTGCGAACTTAGAGCCCCACGGTCGACATCGTGGAGATCAAAGAAGCCTGTAGAAGTTTTTTCGTTGCCGAAACTACAAGGTTTCTGTTGCTCCTTTCAACTCCTTTAGTCACTGTTCTGTTTTAGTTTTTTGGTTATATGGTTATTGGTTTGATACTTGCTTGCAATGTGTCCATATATGGAGCTTATTTTCCTGTAGCTTAAGATAGCTTTTTTTTAATGCCAGTTTCTTAAGGATGCCACTTTCTTTTGTCTTTTGGTGGAAGGACTAGGATAAGTTATTTATCTTTCTTACTTCAAAAAGTTATTTATCTTTCTAATGGCATAAAATAAATATATTTAATCTCCTGATGAGTCATTACAGTATTTAATTATAGTGATTAACATGATTAGTGTGCACATATGGAGCTTGTTTGAAGCACCTAGAGACATTTTCTTTTTTGTGTTAAGATTAATTCACTTTTGCCCAAAATGGAAAATTAAAGGTACTCCTCACACCATACCTGTTATATTGCTTTTCATGGATATCTTAATGACCTTTACTAGTGAAATGGTTATTGTTGACGCATGCTTATTAAGTTGTAGGATTTGAATTGCTTCTTGAGCACAAACTTGATCCATTTTTTAAAAAAGTAGTGACTTATGTAAAAGGAAAGTTGCTAGTGAATTTCCCTTATAAATGGCTACCGATTCAAAGGAAACTAATTGTGGATTCCAAAAGGATCTCTAAGATTCCACATAGTCATTGTTATAGGTCATTAAAATATCACATAATTGTCATCTTGCTGTTTTATGGATCTCTTAGTAACCTTGATTGGTGAAATGGTTAATGGTTGATACATGCTTACATTGTGTGCATGCATTGAGCTTATTTGGTGTAGTTTGAGATAGATCTTTAGCATATCAACTTCTTGAGAACCTTGTCAATTTTTCTCATCTTGCTCTCATATGAATCTCCTAATGATGTTATGAACCTTACGGACCTTGTTTTGCAGTGGTGGGATTGCAGTTTTTTCGTTGGTGAGATGATGAAATCGCCTCTAAATACTATTGGAACCTGCTTTTCAAAATAAAAAAAAAGATAATTGTATAAGCAGACAACTTAGTAATCATGTTTGTGGGTGGATTCTGAATTGGTAGATGTTGTATGATGATACAAAAGAGATTCGAGGAAGGCAACAAAAAATAGGGCAAGAAGTCAAGTTGACCAAGAAGCTTATTGAAGATTGATTTATTGAGAAGATCTTAGGGACTAGACTTGTTTAGTAGTTATTGAACCAATATGCTTTGCGTCGACTGTAAGTGTACTCTTAATGGTCTGTGGGTTACGTTTAGCTTCATTTGCAATGTATTATGCTGTGTAATATATGGCCGAAGGATGCTACAATTGTTAGTTTGACAACCACTTGCCTCCTGTCTATTCTGAAAGTATATATCCAACATTAAATTTAATAAATGTTTTCCTTGAATGAGATCTGTGTGTGTGGCTGTCTGGTAGTTGGATTTGGACAAAAAACTTGGATTTTGTATTGGGTTGTCCGACATATAGTAGTGGAACATAAAATTATAACAGGATGTATGTGTATGGTATAGTTTGTTTCATGGATTTGGACAGGAGGCTTGGATTGAGTTGTTGCTTCTATGTTGGATTTTATATTGATTTTTTTTCATAAACACTGAAAAAAAATACCTAGTTTTGGGTTTAGGACGTTACTGTCACAATTCTTCCATATAATAATCATTAATTCTTTAGTTGCACACCAACTAAAAAGTCAACATCTATTTTTTCATAGACTTTTGTCTTTCTCTTGACATATTTAAGTTCTTATCTACACCTAAACTTTTTTTTGGTAGTAAAATATTATATTAATATATCACTCTTACCAATGTGAATGTAGAAATCAAATAATTAAGTAATTTTTCTTAACCAAATATTATTGATTTAACTAAAAAATTATTATAAAGCATGTACAGTGTAATACCTCGAAAATCTTTGCACTTAATTTATGTGTAAAACTTCTATTTATTCGGGTCCTGAGATCATTAACTCTTTAAAGTTTATTTTGTTTCAAACTTCGGACGAAAATGGATTTAAAAATATTAATTTTATATTTTACGAACAAATTTAATTTTTACGCATTTATTTTACCTAAATAAATATTTGTTTTTGTCATTTATAATTTAAATTTTTTAATGAAAAATAGAGAAGAAAAACGGCAGAAAAATCTCACGTAAGGGGCTACACCAGAGTTTTCCTAGTCTGCGCGAGCCTCGCGGGCTCTGTATACACCCTCGTGCTCACGGCCAGCACAGGCGCACGTCCCCTCCGTGAGAGGCGCGAGGTGCGCAATCTGCACATGTAACATCATGTACAAACAGAGGTGCGGCTCCACGCGCCCTTCAGTTCTACTGCATACAATTATCTTAAATGTACTCGTGTATGTTTTTATTTCTGTACCCTTATGCTTTAATTAACATTTGAGATATTACAAATGATATTAGAGCAGTTACGCAGAATAATTCTTTACAACTGAGGCTATAATTTAGAAAACTAATCTAGATACTTAGGATATTTCTTTCTTAAAAATTAGACCACCAACTCGAGTCTTCCTTTTCTTTTGTAGGAATGATGCGAGTGAGACGTCTTGCGCGAGCAACCAAACTCCTCGCGGGATTTTTTCCGTGGGATTTTCTTCTTGATTTGCCATTTTTCAATTTTTTTTTCTCAATTTTTATATTTAAATTAAATGAGTTAGGATAAAATAAAATAAAATAAATGAAAATCAATCAAAATTAAGAATTACGATAATTATTAAGCAATGTAAATTAATTAAGTTTAACGCGGCCAAAGGTCCGAATAAATAGAGTTTTCAAATCATTTAACATAGTGATGGGCGGAGTGTTACATCTCCCCCACCTTAAAAAAATTTGGTCCCCAAATTTGTCTCGAATAAGTTTGGATACTTTTTCCTCATTTCGTCCTCCAACTCCCGCGTCGCTTCTTCCGGGATATGATGTTGTCGCCGTACCTTCACCATGGGAATCGTGTTATTACGCAAGACCTTATCGGTCCACCTGAGAATCTCTACGGGAACCTCCTCATAGGTCATATAAGCCTGTACTTGTACCTCATCGCGAAGAATAACATGAGAAGGATTAGTGTGGTACCTTTTGAGCATCGAGACATGAAAGACATCATGCAGACTCGCGAACTCTTGGGATAGAGTGAGGCGGTATGCCACCGGTCCAATGTGCTCGATGATCGAAAAAGGTCCCACATAACGAGGGCTTAACTTCCCTCTCTTCCCAAACCACATCTTGCCTTTGTAGGGGTAGAATTTTAACAAAACTTGATCTCCCACGGCAAACTCCAAGGGTTGCCTACAATTATTGACGTAACTTTTTTGGCGGTTCTAAGCAGTTGCAAAATTCTTGCGGATGATTGCGACCTTCTCTATGGTCTCTTGAATGAAGTCTGGTCTTAAGTGGTACTAGTTCCCGACTTCACTTCAGCAAGTAGGGGAACGACATGGCCTTCGATACAAAGATTCATATGGGGCTATACCGATGCTGGAATGATACCTGTTATTTTAAGTTAATGCAAAAAGAAGAAGATACTCATACCAATTATCACCAAAGCCAAGAACGCAAATACGCAATATGTCTTCCAATGTCTAAATCATACACTCTGATTGACCATCCGTCTGAGGATGATAAGCGGTGCTGAAGTACAAACCAGATCCCAGAGCTTTTTGAAAGCTGTCCCAAAAGTGAGAAGTGAACCGAGGGTCGTGGTTGGACACAATGGATGAGGGGACTCCATGAAGTCGAATAAGTTCATCAACATATAGGCGGACCAACTTACTGGTGGAGTCTGTGGTTCGAATGGGCATAAATGGGTAGTCTTAGTCAACCTATCTACAATAATCCAAATAGTATTTCGACCATAACAGGTCCTGAAAAATTCAGTAATAAAGTCTATAGTCACATGCTCCCATTTCTATTCGGGAATCGAAAGACCTTGTAGCAAGCCATCAGGTCTCTGATGTTCTGCCTTTATCTGTTGACAAGTGAGGCATGGGGAGACATAGTCAACTAGATCATTCTTCATTCCTGGCCACCAATATTATCGCTTCAAGTCCCCGTATATTTTGGTACTCCCGGGATGAATAGATAACTTGGAAGCATGGGCAATCTTGAGTACATTCGTATGTACAGCAATGAGGACCCAAATTTGGTTCTGGAATATGAACAATCCATCATTCAAGATTCTGAAATCAGAAGATTCATCAGAAGTGAACTTACCTAGATTCTTGGTGAATTATGAGTCTATGGCCTGTGCTTATTAGATCTTCATAAAGAGATCCACTATGGCTCGGATCTGGGTGAGATAGGTGTCCTTGCCATAGTAGTTAAGGAGGAGCGATTGTATAATGTCCATTATCTTCCAATTGGAGGCCATGGTTTGAGCTAACATAGCAGGCTTCTTTCAGCTCAGTGCATCAATGACTACATTCCCTCTTTTGGGGTGATAGATGATCCGGTAATCGTAATCCTTTAGAAAATCCATCCAGTGCTTTTGCCTCATTTTTAACTCCCGTTGAAAAAAGATGTACTTGGAACTCTTATGGTCAGTGTTGATTTCAAAAGTCTGACCATATAGGTAATGCCGCCATATCTTCAGGGTAAAAATAATGGTTGCCAATTTCAGGTCGTGGGTAGGGTAGTTCTACTTATGAACTTTGACTTGTCAGGATTTAAAGGCGACTATTGTGTCATGCTGCATCAAGACACACCCCAAACCAATATGAGATACATCGCAGTAAACTTGAAATCTCCCAACATCATTAGGGAGGATTAACACATGAGCAAAGGTGAGATGGCACTTCAGTTCCATGAAGCTTTCACAGCACTCATAATTCTAGACAAAGGGTACTCCCTGTCGGGTAAGTCGGGTTATAGAGGCAGTAATTTTGAAAAACTCATCAATGAATCATCGGTAATAGTTTGCTAAGCCAAGGAAATAACGTACTTCGGCCACATTGGTGGATAGACTCCAGCTGATTACCAATTCCCCTTGGACAGGTTTGCAGAAATGTCTTCACTTAAGATTACATGATCGAGAAAAAAAACTCGATCCAACCAAAAGGAGCACTTACTCAGTTTTGCATACAGTTGATTTTTTCAGAGAATCTCCAACACTATAGCCAAATGTATAATAAGTTCCTCACTTGAGATTACATGACCGAGAAAAGAAACTCGATCCAACCAAAAGGAGCACTTACTCAGTTTTACATATAGTTGGTTTTATCGGAGAGTCTCCAACACTATAGCTAAATGTATAATGTGTTCCTCACGACTTTTGGAGTACACTAGAATGTCATCAATAAAAATAATGATGTACTGATCTAGTGCGTGCTGAAAATCTCGGTTATTTAGGTACATGAAGGCTGTTGGGGCATTGGTCAATCTGAACGACATCACCCTGAACTCGTACAAACCATACTTGCATTGGAAGGAAGTTTTTGGAATATCTTCTTCCCTAACTCTCAACTGGTGATACCCGGTCCTGATATCGATCTTAAAGAAGATTGTAGCTCATTGTAGTTAATCGAAGAGATTGTCGATCCGGAGTAAAGGGTACTTACTTTTAACGCTCACTCGATTGAGTTCCTTATAGTCCACGCAGAGTCAGAGGGTACCATCATTTTTCTTTACGAGCAACACCGGAGTGCCCCAAGTGGAATGGCTAGGGCGAACGAATTTTCGAGTGATAAGGTCAGAAAGATGATGTTCCAGCTCTGTTAACTCAACGCAACTCATACGATATGTAGACTTCGAGATCGGCTGGGTTCCAGGCAACAATTCAATCAAGAACTCTACCTCACATGGGGAAGGTAGACCAAGAAGTTCAATAAGAAAGACATCTAAAAAATTACAAACAATTAGTGTGGAACAAATAGTAGGATCAACGTCCATATTCAATCATTAAGAAAATGATAACAATAACTTTTCTTTTTTTTTTTTGGGATCGTAAGGTTACAATTTTACTTTCATAGTCTATTACAACTCTATATTTTTCCAATCAGTTCATTCCTAATATTACATCAATCCTAAAAAATCTAATAGTATCAGGTTTACACATACCTCTAATCCTGAAGTTTTTATTCTACAGTCCTTATATACACAATGAGCTTTTAGTAGTCCTTTAGATGGAGGTTCCACCACTAACATTTTTCTTAAAACTTTTGGTTTAAACTCTAGATTACAAGCAAATGTATAGGAAATAAAAGAGTGAGTTGCACCAGTATCGATCAAGAAATTGGCATGAGTATTATGAATAGAAAGCATACCATGGATGAGGACATGAGCAGGAAGGGCATCAGATTCATCTAAGTGGTA